CAAGAATTCAACTATTTTCAGATACCTTTTACTTCCCGGGTGTCGGTGGCTCACAAGGCCGCCGCGGAATTGCTCGATTCATTCACTTACGCGATCGAGGAACTCCTATGCGCCTCCATTGCAAAGTTGATGGATCGCGTGTCAATAACCTTCTACCGTGACGGTTCCCAGATGGAGTGCATAATACCATCGCAGGTTAGCAAGCTGAGGGAATTCAGTCTGAACGGTTACTGTATCATCAACCATTTCTATGATGACATCAGGAAATACCTGGAGACCGTCTTCCCAAACATGAAATTTCGACTGGATTTTGGCTATAATTACAAGAGTCTAACGATGTCCATGAGTCACTTGTTCACCAAGGATAGTATCATTGAACATGCCAAGATCGGTAATTTGGTGATTTAACGTACGTGAGGGGATTGGATTCGGTCAGGCGAATATATACTGTATTTATGATGTGGCATCTTTATGATGCTAGAATTTGGACGGGATATCTATTCACGACCATGGTATTCGTGAACCAATTGAACGTTGATGAACTTTTCAACAACACCAACAAAAAACACTTCGACTTAAAAATTTCCTTAATATGACCGTTCTTAAAAAAATAAATAAAATAATTTCGTGATAATAAAATAAATTAAATTAAATTAAATAAATTACTTGCGTGTTTTGAAGAAAAAAAAAAAAAGAAACTTGAAGTTACCTGATATAGTCTGATTGTGTTATCATACATAAGCAAGCTCACTCTGGAGTGACACGGATAGGTTAAAGTTAATACAGCTTATTTTCCTTAAAGTTGTAAACAAAAAAAAATTTTTTCGTTCTGGATCAAAAGTTCCGTGTAAGGCATGTACTAATGATCATTTAATTGGTGAATGAGGTTAATGTTTTTAAATGAGCTCGGGTGATCTGAACTTAATGCGGGAATCCGACACCGTTTCACAAATATTACGCTATTTTCAATTATATTGATATACAAAAACTTTAATTGATTAATTATTATTAATAAAAAAAACAATTTGCTGTTTTGCTAGTTAATATTTCCATGCATCTTTATGAAAAGTGTTAAGAGGTATTATGCATTTTATTATAATGCAAATTCAAACACATGATATGCAAATAAATTAAATCCAATCAAATTTTTTTTATATTGTATAATTCAATATATAATATTTCTTTATAATAATTTTTTTTATATATTAAATAATAAATTTCTGATAATATTTATTTAAAAAATAAATTTTAATATTATTTGATTAATATTGAAAATATAATAATACATTATATTATATACAATATAAATTAATATATTGTATTATTATATATAAATATGTTTTCTAATTTAAAATTTTGAAAATAAATTAATAATAATAATAATTGTTTATTTTAAAGTATCAAATTTTTTTATTGATTTTTTTGTTTTAAAAAAATACAAATAAATTTTTATATAATATAATAATAATAATAATAATTAATTGATTTTGAATATTGATCTGTTTTTTTGATTTTAATATAAATATATTTTTTATATTATATTTTGTATTATAAAAAAATTTTCAAAAAATTTTTAATAATTATACTATAATATACTATATATTTTAAAATAATATATTTATTAATATTTTTTATTTTTTGATAACTTGAAAAAAATACAAATTGAAAATCAAATAATCATTATCTTTTATATATATTTTTTAAAAAAATTTAATAATTATCTTAAAACTAATTAATGTAAATATTGATTTATAATATAAATATATAAAAATAAATCTTAAAATTATATACGATAATCATAGATATCCCTTTTTTTTTTATTGACCCTCATTCTACTTTTTATTTCGTTTTTTCTCTCTTCCTCTCTTATCCCCTTCTCCATCTATCATTCCCGTTTCTTACCTATATGACCGCATAAAAAAAAACAAAAATAATTAAAAAATAAATAAATATTCGAAAAAATAATTAAAAAAAAAATCTGGTTATATTTTTCTATTCCTTCACCCTTTTTTTTTTATCGACCCTCTTACTCATCTCTTTTTTTTTATATCATCTCATCCTATTTTTCTTTTTCCTTTCCTCACTTTCCATCACCTTCCCTCTTTCATTCTACTCCTTTCTTTATCTCTACTTTTTTTTGTCTTTTTTCTCTTCTTGTCTCTTATCCCCTCTCTTTGTTCTATTGTCTCTGTTTCTTTAAAAAGATAAACTGTTTCTTACCTATAAAAAAAATTTTTTAAAAAATAAGTTAAAAAATTTGATTATATTTTTTCGTTTTATCTGATCCTCTTACCCATTCCTTTATCCTATTTTTCTTTTCCTTCATCCCTTCACCCCCTTCACTTCTCTTTGTTTTACTTCTTTCTCATTTTCTACTTCCCTATTATACTTTTTTTTCTCTCTTCCTTGCCTCTTATCCTATTGTCATCCCTGTTTCTTATCTATAAACCCATATTCTTTAGACATTGTTCTTTTAAGTTCATTATGGTAAGACTCTAGTGGGTTTGTTGAAGTAACATATAACAAAAGAGGAGAATTCTATTATGCCTAAAGGACTTATTTCTATGTGTTCTTACTATAATTATATTTAATGTAGCAGCAATCTCGGGAACAGGACAGCTATTGATAATATTACAGATTAACTCCTCACAACTGATCTTTATTTTTTTATGCATGGCAGCAATCAACTGATTACATGTTGCTGAGTGGTATATCTTGTATAGCCACATATACATTACATGCACTGTACAGAAAATAATGTTGCAGTTTTGTTCACCACACGTGATGCCTAGAAAAGTTGAAAAAATACTGTTTATCTCATTCTGCTCTGATCACAGAGCATATATTGAGGATGCCAATGAGGTGCAAATTTATGGATTACTTTTAGTGCTCTTGCTATTGTGTTGCTATCCTCCTTACTTACAAAAAAATATGTATCAACATTCCAACAACCACAACCATTACGAATATACAAAATAAAAAGGTTCCAAAAATGTTTGTTTGTATTATAAGTAGAATCAATAAGAGTTAACCATCTATGTTGTTGAAGTTTTTCTAATTGCTATATATTTGTAAAACAAAAACCTTGAGATAATTATGATGTAACATGAAATTGTTGAACTTTATAGTTTTTGGTGATCAAAAACTTTAAAGTTTCTTGAATGTCAAACTCTAAGTTGTATTTTCCAATCAAATTAGTCATTAATGATTTTCTTTGCTTGAATTGAATATTTGTCACTTCTTTTCGATACAAATTTTGAGTAATAATATCAAGACCTTTTTTCTTTGCAAGTTTTTTTACAGCAATGACAATAGCTGGTGGTAAATAAGGTTTTTTAGCTTCATTTGCTACTAGTTGTCTAATAATCTCTGAATGTTTTAGTTTGTCACTGTCCTCAATTGAATGTAAATGATCTGATGTATTTTTGAAATATTCAATTCTAACTGTTTATGTTGCAAAAATATATATGATTTTGATTTTTGCGTTACATAAATTTGTCATTTGTTTACTTGTTTTTCTTCACTTGTCGATTGAAATATTTTCTTTTCATGTACAGTTATCCTCCCATATAATCACATGGTTTGTTCCACCCAAATTGGTGATTGTAGAGGAGTGTGATTATAATTATATTTCCTCCTATATAATCACATAAATTAGGTATAGTCATATAATGTGAGTGTATAGGAGTATAATTAAAATTCAGAAAAAGCTTGGAGGTCACGGACTAAAAGAGAAATCATAGCGAAGTTGTTTATGAGTAAGAACAAAAGGATTGGCTATAGAGATGTAAATAAATAATAGAGATTATGAGGATTAGTATCTACTACTGGAAAATCCTGACATAATTACGAATTTAATTTACACAGTACACAAACCTAGTAATAAAAAAAAAAACGATGGTGTGATTTTTTAGGAAGGACTGACCAAAAAAGGGAGTATGTTGATTCCTCAATGTCATAATAGGTTACGGGTATACATAGAATTATTGAATTCCCCGAGAACATTCGTGATTCTGAACTATCTAAGGTCATAACTATGTGTGTACGTGTGAAGGACCTTTCGAATCACATCGGAGAAAGATACGACAAATAATTGTTAGTCATTGTAGTGCATCAAACGAATAAATATTAGGCCGAGAGTAATGGAGGTGTGACTATTTGGATTTCCCGCATCATTAGAATCTTTCGAATTTTCGATCAACCAGTACAAAAAAAAATATCAGGATTGACGACCTTGATCGCTTGCTAATATATCAGAAGGCAACTGAAAAGTCGTTTGGGAGTTCGCGACTAGCCAGAAATGTGAAAAGGTTCGGTGAATTTGATTGCACTAAGAAAAACCTAAAGAAATTCTCCAGATTAATTACCGAACGATAATTTTGAAGTTTCCTGGGTTTCCTGGCACTCATGTTATGCCGGTTAAACAAACAAATG